TAATTGTGAAGGATATCAAGCTGTTTGATGAAGGTCTATAGTCTGGAAACTTTTACTTAGTGACTCACTTGTATTTTGTTAAAATAGGCTTCATGTAGATTTTAGACTGGTCTGTTGTCAGGAGAAGAACAAAACAATATTTTTTTTTTCCCCCCAATTCTTTGCTGACAAAAGGGACTGAGACTGATTTAAAATATGCTTGGAGAGTGCATGTAAGAAGTGAAGGTAAGAGCCAGCAATGGTGATGGCCACTGATGTCAAATGTGTATGTGAAGTCACATGAGTGAGAAGTTAAGCAAGCTAGTCATATGCATGCAGTTTGTATAAGAAGGACAAAACTGCATCCTTGTCATTGCTTTTTGAGCCCATTGTTTTCCTACTTTAGAGCATGTCTGCTCCAGTTTATAAAAGATCTGCTAAAACAGGTAATTCTGAACATATGCTAAATTAACCCCAAACCAAGCTTTTGTTTCTCTACCAAGACTGGTTGAGGTTCTGGGTTCACAAATGTATGTGATGTTAGTACTTCTGCTGCCCTAAAGTCAAAAGAAGTCTGGAGATGAGTGAGATTCTCCAGCCTGAAAGAGGAATTGTTCAACAAGAGGTAAGCAGAACTTGTACAGAAACTAGAGATCACAGTTTTTCTTTTCTCTGTTCTGTCACTGCTTTTCTAGAGCCTGAAGGACAAATTACACTGTGTATTTATGTTTAAAGGTAATAACTGTAAATCTAAATGTTTTAAGATACTAGCATTGAATCCCCCCAAATGATGCACAGCAATCATTTGTTTCAATTGCTTAAAGTAGCCCAGCATTAACGAGACAAATTTAATATCTGTGCAGTTTGGAGAGATAAAGACTTAATTGTGTAAGCCATTTAATGCACGTGAAGTCTGCAGATCTGACTATTGCTGCTGTTTTCATCCATTAAGGTTACAAAAACTCATTCTTAAAATCCTCTTTGCAAGTCCCACTTTATTATGCTGAATTAATCTCACAGTTAATGTGTTTCTAAAGGTAATTTTAATTTGATGACTGCATCATTTAACTTTAACCAGCATTCAACAAGTGCAATTTAGTTGCTATCTACCTGTTTCTGCTTCCAAATGTATGAAATGTATGTCACAGTGGAAATCTTGTTCTGATGCAGGAGAGCCACACCTGCACTGCTGGGGACCTACTGTGTAACAGTTTCTTCTGGTGAATGCTCCAGCTTTAACTCCAGTCTTCCTGCTGCATGAGAGAAAGATTTCTAAATTGCTTGGGGTTTGGTTGTTTTTGTTGTTGTTGTTGTTGTTGTGTTTTGTTTTGTTTTGTTTTTGTTTTTGCTTTTTGTTTTGTTTTTCTTTTTTTGAGAGAGAGTGAGGTTGAACAATACAATGTTAGCAATTCTTGAAATATGGAAGTGTGAAAGACATGCATGTCTCATTTTAAACTGAGACGTTAAAAATGTAGATTTGCATATCGGTAAAGAACTTCAGTAATTTTCAGCTCAATAATCCTAAAAAAAAATATTAAATACAGCAAACCTGTACACAAGTCCAAGCCATTAAACAGCCCCTCTTCATTTAATTTGGAAGAAAAAGAACAGGAAGGATACCGAAAATCTGAAGACTTGATTTGGAATTTTGTTTCTCATGCGTTAACTGTTGGGGTAACTGAAACTACTGATAATATCTATCATCATTATTTTCTTTTTCTTTCTACCTTTCAGAGGTGCTGAGTCCTCCTCAGGCCACTCAAAATAGTATTTGTAGGCAAACCTGTGTTCTATGTAGGAGACAGTGGTCTTGCACCTTATTTATCCTTTGCTGCACGGAAGAAATCTTGGGCTTGATCCAAAGATACCAGTGCTCAGTGAATCAAGGCCAGTCACTTTAAATGAATGCAGCTTTCAAGGAATTAGCTTTACAAGAGGAAACGAGAGCGGATCATTTTACATTTCTGGCTCATGGTTTTTTTTTTAAATGTGGGAGGCTTCCTACATTTCACACATTTGGCATGTTGTCCTGTTAGTCCTCCTTCCTGAAAGAAGAACCTGCAAGTGTAGACCGCAAGTCACGGCAAGGAACATTTCTCCCTCTACTCCAAACTTCTGCCAGTTCCAATGAATGATTGATCAAAGCTGGTGGAGTTTTCACCTGCAATATACACAGCATTCAACATTCAGCTAGTATTGACCATTGTGCATGTGTTCAAGTGAACTGTGATTTTATGATCTCTCTCAAAATCCAAAGGTTTTTTTTCACTCCAAACAATTGCCATGTCCACCCCACCCAGATGCCTTATCACTATGAGACATGTTTCTGAGGAGTTCACTTGAAGCAGATATTTTTCAGAATAGCTATAAAGTAAGCACTTTAATATCTTTGTCCTCAAACTAAGATATTCTTATGACTAGTGCCTTATCATAAGGTCTGCTTTATGCCTTGTATTTTTGTTCTACATTTGCAGCAAAAAAGCAGAAGTGTACTGAAAACTTTACAACAACTTCACTTTGGAAACATAAACTTCCAGTTGTGTAACAGCACATCACAGCACTAAGCATTAACATTGACTAATGCTGTCAGGTAGAAAGAATTAAAAACAAATCTCCGTGTTCTGCCTGTTTGGAATTGCTCACAGGAATGCTGCATGTTGTCCTCTATGCTCACTAACTCAAGGAAAAAATAATCTCATTTTGAAAGAAAAATAAGTTTCTTTGATCACAATGAAAAGCAGTGAGGATAAGATGAAGCAGGAAGACCAACAAGAGGATTAACTCTTGCCTGCAGCAAATTGGCCTGGAGATATGATGATATCCATACACACGGCAACAAGGTGCAGTGTCATCCCATCATAAGGTGGGAAAAATAACAGTCATTTCTATGCTCATCCTCATTCAGAGCACAAATATAACAAAGAAATAACAGACCCTTTTGCTGAAGATTTTGAAATTAAAAGCTTATTTCCATGCAGTGTGCCAGTGAAGTGGGATTTGGAGTGACAAACAGTGTCAAACCTGGGATGCTAATGCCTTAGTGGCATCTTCCTGGAGGAGGATCAGGTTAGGGAACTTTTAAACAGACTGGACATACATAAGTCCATGGATCTTGTTGGGAAGTACCATGTGCAGAAGCAGCTGGCTGATGGCATAGTGAGGCTATTTTGTCACGGTGATAGAGAGAGGCTTCTGAAGATGGAAAGAAAGCAAATGTCACTCCTATCTTCAGGAAGAGCAAGAGCAAGCTGGGAACTACAGGCCAGTCAGCCTCACACTGATCCCTGAGAAAGTGATGGAGAAACTTACACTGTAAATAATTTCCAGACACATGAAGGATGGGAAGGTGATCATGAGTAGTTAGCAGGATTTATGAAGGGGAAGTTATGCTTAACCAACCTGATAGCCTCTCACAATGAGGTAACTAAGTGAGCAAGGAGAGAGGTGTGGATGTTGTTTACCTCAACATTAGCAAGGCATTTGACATGGTTTCACATAAAATCCTCATAAATAAGCTGACAAAGTACAGGTTAGGTAAGTGGACAGTGAGGTGGCCCGAAAACTGGCTTGGGGCTCACTGTGTGATCAGTAGCCCAAAGTCAAACTGGGGGCCAGTCAGTAGTGGTACCCCAGGTGTGGACACCTGTGCCAATAATGTTTAAAGTTTTTACTAATGACCTGGATGATGGTCAGAGAACACCTTCAAGAAGCTTACAGATGATACAAATCTGGAAGGAGTGGTTGATGCACCAAATTGTCGCGTCCCTGTTCAGAGGGACCCACAGGCTGAAGAAACGGGCAGACAGGAATGTCACGAAGTTTCACAAACAGAAGTCCTGCTACTGGGAAGGAACAACCCAGGCACCTGTATACACTGGGAGCCGAGTGGCTCAAAAGCAGCTTTGCTGAGAAGGACCTTGCAGTCCTTCTTGGTAGACACCAAGGTGACCAAGAGCCAACAATGCACAGTAAAAAAGGCCAACAGTATGCTGTGGTGTGTTAGGGAGAGCATTGCCAGCAGGCTGAGGAAGGTGATTCTTACCCCTGCTCAGCCCTGGTGAGACAGGTGAGCAGAAAAGTTTTTAAATTTCTCCACCCAATAAATGCTGCCACTTAATGTCATCTCAGTTTGAAGTCACAGCATAAAATGGATAAAAGATAGACTGGGTAGAGAGACCTGTGTTACTGAGTTAGTGTCGATATACATAAAGGAGCTTTGTTGAAAAAATGATCTATGTCTGGCACTTAACCTTGTGTTTAAAAAGAAGAGTTAAAGGTTATATTCACTGTGACTTTAGGAGCTAGATATGGATACAATTTACTCAGATCACTCCTGGGAATGAATTATTAGAGGGATACTAAATGCCTGCTGCATAGCTCACCATTTAGAATCCATACAGTCCTCTTCAGCCATGGGTATTATGACCATGATACAGAACCGTAAGGATGAACAGTTAAGAGGAGGAATGATGGACGAGATTCTCAGACAGAAACGGGGAAACTGTAGATCCTTCAATAGAATAAGGAAAAGAAGAGCATGCTGGAGAGGGGGCTTTTATGACAGGCATCTCCTGGAGAACACAAAAACAAACTGTAAACTTTACCATGCTGTCTTACAGGATGACTATCAAGGAATAAAACCATCCCCTGCCCTAAAAGAAAGCAAATTTAAAGCAGTCTCTTTATTCAGTCTGCAGCTTTTTTCCATTGTTCATTAAAATATGTTATTGTAACACAAGTGGAATTCAGGAGGCAATCTCTCCAGCTGGTGGTTTGATGGGTGAGGGTATTAGACTTCAACTTTATCTCAGCAAATAATGGGCTCTCTCTGGAATAGCTGAAACTCTGGCAGGAAGGAAGAGACATTAGTGGGAATTTCCCCTAGATAACAGTCCTTGGTTTACAGAAATCCTGTTCCATTATCTCTAAAAATTATATAGACATAAATATACAGAGCAACAGCATCTACTGTGCTGAATTTGGAAACACAGTGCTCTCTCCAAGAACCTTCAATTTTTTTGTTTACATACCTCTTTATACTCAAAATGACAATCACAGATTTGGAGAAATTTAGTGACAAAAATACAAGACTTCTATTTTCATGTACATTTCTATTTTCAGTACATCTTCTAATGCTTTGTCTACTCCAGTTCTATGAAGTGAAGCACATAGTCTACTTATGTTTTGGAAACTTTTCTAAGAGAGTAGAACAACTATAAAACCAGACCCCCCCCTTTTTTAATTATTTTTTGTAAAAGGCTAGATTACTGTCTGGCTAAGATTCCTATCTGTAGTTGAATATGGTTTTTTTTCTCTTGCAACATACCAGGTGGAGGAAATTATCATTAGGTAGTTTATAATTACATTGCATATTGAATGTGAGGGGACTGTACACATGGAAATTTTATGTAAAAGTCTTCTGAAATTTCTGCATTATAAAGCACATTGTTATTTCCGTATCAGTCCTGGTTTTGTTCTATGCTGAATCTCTTTCTATGTATTTTTGTCAAAGCAGAGGTTGCATATGACACTGCAGCTTGAAACCTTAAGAAAAAACCCACATAAAATACAAGAGCTTTTCTCTGTTATTCCCTTTATTGGTGAATACTACAAAAGTAAAATGTTCTGCAGAAGGTCAGTATTAGCTGAGTTTCACTATTTTTATCACAGTTCTCTCCTTATAATTACATTTAAAAAATATAAAGCAGTTAATCAGTTCTCCACTGGGAAATGAAAATTTGCTTACAGATCCAAAGTACATTTGCTTTTATTCTAAGACTTCAAACTATGAAGCAGTTCTGACTTAAAAGGATGCTTGTCATCCTTAGATGTTTTCCTTACGTGTTATAAATTGCTATTTAAATTGGGATGGTATGCTGATATTACCATTTATCTTACTATACAATTCATTTAAGATAATGCATATGAGAGCCTGTCAGGCAGTCCTTATTCAGGGAGAACTCCTGGCAGGGATAGGACTACAAGACAATTAAGAGATTAATTGTTTCACATTTCAGACATAATCCAGCAATGGGCCTCAGAAAAATTTTCTGATGTTTTTACACTCATTATGTGGTATTTCCTTTTTATTTCTACAAGTTTCTACAATTCAGTAAACTTTTTAAATGTTTCAGAGGGATACTATTAAACCCTGTGACATCTAAAAATGTAGAAAAATACAGAAAAGAATATGTGTTGCCATAGTGGTGAGCAAATGAGCTGACTAGTTCAGCTTTCCATGCTGCCTGTGCACATCTCTTGTTGTTGGTCCACTGGGGCAGGAAGGAAGTGCCTGGGTTCAGTTCTTGGTGTTCTGTAAAGCTTCTATGAGAGCTTTGTTGTATTCTGTGACCAGCTTTCTCACGTTCTTCATTATTGGCTGGTAGTCACTCTCCTGACTTTTTGTCGCTATGACTGATTAAAAGAATTAAAGAAACAAACTGCCAGTATAAATACAAGCATAATTAGGTATCATAAGGGAACCATAATACAGTAAGTTTCCTCATGTGAAAACTGTCATGGGTTGCAAATAATAGAAAAAAACCTAAAAGATTTAAGCCTATTTAGTATCTGCCATCTCATGCCAAGAGGAAAAAAAAAAAGAGATTACATGTCTGAGTCAGTTTTGTTTTCATATATGCAGGCAATAGGTCCCTCCTGGAAGACTCTGTCCATTGTTACATTGCAAACAAAACCATTTCAAGGCACTCAGCTATTTACGATCATACAGTCTGGCACTTTAGAATTCCGGCTACAACAGTCCCAGTCCAGGAAAGCAGGACCTTCCTTTTCAGTAGCCCAAGCAGACATAAAACTCTGTATAATGGTCTGCATTTGGATAGGTAATAAACTGCAGCAAGTTATGAGGCACTTCCAGAACCCTGATCAACTTGGTTTGTTTCATTTTTTTTCTGTTAGAAAAAATAGGACCTAGATTCTTGCCTGATAAAATATTGTGGTAGAGCCTTCTTCATAGAGGAAATGGCTGCAATTACATTACATTGTCCAAGACTTTTTTCAGATTTTTTCTAAGAATTAGAGTACTTATCAGACACAAGAAACAGGATATTCGGTATATGAAAAAGATAATGCTCTATGCAGATCCCATATTATTATTTTTTCCCCTGATGACTAGGCTATTACAGAATTGCCGAAAATATATTCTTGGGCACTTTTCTGAGACATGTAGCAATGTCCATTGTCCAACACAAAACACTGGATGATATCGTCTAGTTTTGCCCTTACTTCTATCAATTACATTTGTACTATAATCATTAACAGTGATTCTATGTATCTTTGAGATTTTATATTGTTTCCTAAATAATTTTAAAGAAGTTCATTTATTGCAGTGAATTTAAAGTTCCTAGAATATAAAATAAAAGTGCAATGATGCCCTACTCCAATGGCTACAAAAACTATGGGGAATAGTACAAGGTAAGAAGAACCACCAGTTTTAATAAAAAAAACTTTGATGCTTTTGCTAATTTAAAAAAATACCTTATGAAAGTCACTTCCAGTAAATAAGATTTTGCCGATGTTTTGGAAGCTCTTATATGATCAGTGCAATGTAAGTAATTAGCATCACATAATGAAAGCGCTACAATGCAGTTCCCCCCTCCCAGCTCATTTTGCAGCTAAAGCATCTCCTGGTCATATCTTACCACATTTATCTCTTTTTTCTCTCTAATATGCAATTCCTCTTTAATTGATAAAAATACATTAAATGCATACAATCTGTTGTTTACTTTTTTATCATTCATATTTATGGTGTTTTAAAACTGAAAAATACTAGGCAAAGTCACCATGCTATACAGACTTTGAAACAATGCTACACTTGCTGGATAATTTCAGATAAGACTGGATGGATGTGAAGATGATCTTCGCATAAGACCTAATGGCAAAACTGACCCAACAGGAAAAACTCCAGAATGCGAGACAAATGTTATGGTTTAGGACCCTGTAAAATTGTTTCAGACAATACTTGCAAGTTTTGCTATATGTAATATCTATCAGCTAACTAGACATTTGCAAATCATCGCCTTTCCCCTCCTCCCGTCTTCAGCTCCCCATTCTGTCCTGTCTTATTCTGCTGGAGGAAACAGACTTCTTCCTCAATTAATACCATGCCTGAATTTTGCTGTGTTTCTTAAAGGATACATTCCTTCATCATAAAGTTATTTTGCTCATGGTGCTGCCACTTCCTCTCCAAATTTGTAAGCTGATAACACAAAAAGAGTCAAAAAATAAAATTATAATTACACATGTACTTTATGCAAAGAATCTCACAATCCCTATCACCTGGTAAGATCAAAGTTATTTCACAAAAAAACCACAGAAATGAGAAACAATGGCAAAATTATTTGTAAAGCTTCCAATGATTAACCTGTATATAATTCAGCACTTCATACACCTATTTATACAAAAGCACCACGTGCAACTGCATTGGTGGATGGAAAAAGTCAGATGAGAATTCAAGACGTCACATAGGGAAACGTCTAAGCAAGTCAGAAGTAAAAAGGCGAACACTGCAGGGAGATACTAATTCTCATTATACTTCATATCATTTAAATGATCTCTTCTTAAAATCAGTAAGATCTAAAATCACCAAAGATACAATATTTCCTGACACTGTCTTGGACTTTGAGCTATACAGAAGAAACTTCCTCACTTCCATAGTTCAGTTTCCTGTCTGATGCCAGAAGCTGTGATAAGAACAGAGCTGCAGCAAGAAGATTGTAGGAGTGTGGATTAAGTGCTGGCACTTCTTCAATACTTTCAGCATCAACAGGAAACTAATGTGGACATTATATTGATGGCTGCTTCCTTACAATACAACTTTATATTTGTTTTTCTGATGCTAATGTTCAAGGTTCTGCATTTCAAGATATGCAGATGTTATTTTTAAATGCAGAAACTGAAAATCATTCGGAGACTAAACATTCAGTGGAAACTAGGGTAATAAATTAGGAAAATATTGCAACATTTTACTTAAATGCTTATTCTTAAACTGGAAGATATGAAAATAGTTGCTATATTACTCAAATCTTACAGTGAAGAACCAGTTATTTACTGTGCTGGTTCAAAGCAAACATTGCAGTCCTTTATTTCCAAGATATGATATTTCTGACCAATTAAAATTTTTATTGTCCCCTTTGTAGATGTTATGTGCAATACAGCTGGTAAAGGAGCCTAGGTTTAAAATACTGTCTGCTATCTATCAAAGGAAATACTCAGTGCATTTTTATAGTAACTCCTTGAAGCCCACACCTCATACAGTTGACTGCTTGCAAAATCATCCAAACCCTCAAGATACATAAACTATTTGTACTTCAACATGCTTGAAGCACGTCAACTAATCAGCTATTTTAAGATACTTTATTCACCCTCATGTCATTTATACTCATGACATAAAAAGCAAAGAAACAAATCCTTTTTGCACACATTGAAACAGAACTGCCACATCTTAATGAACTGAAGAAATGCTGTACAACTACAATTTTATATAAACTTTTTAGCATTATTATGTAAGTATCTTAACCCTGGCTGGGTATCCATTTCTGATTTACATAATCTCTAGGAATAAGAATGTGATCTTGGCATAAAAATATACAGTATCTGAAGTCTTGCAGACTTTGGCATTCAGCTTCAGGGATTTATATCATCACCCTAGAGTTGGCCCACAATAATCACATGCTATAATGTATATGTATAGCTCTTTAATTAGAGGAGGATGCCCTCTCATCTGCTCCATAAAGTTCACTCCAGAAGAAAGACAACTTAAACTTGTATGAATATCACCTCCAGCTTTTCACTGAATTAGAAAAAAGTAACAGTTCTAAAGGACAGAGATCTCAACAATCTGAAACAATAAAAAACAGTGAAATGCAGAGAAAATAATAAATTTCCATTTTTCAGCTTATTTTAAGGTCATCCATTTTCCTTCTGTGCATTCAAGCCTATATGCCAGTAAGGTTCTGTTGCCAAGACAACAGCAACTTACGGGTGTTTATAATGCAAGAATCAAAGCTGCTGAAGATTTAATAAAGATCTTTTTTCCCAATTCACTTTTGAAATGTAACTGTAAATATATGCATATACCAAAATTCCTCAGGTTTAAAGAAGTCTGAACAAACCCTAAAACTTCAGTGGTCTGCAAGGAGCAGAAAGACTGGAAAAAGGAAAATGAAATTAATAGTACAGATTGCAAGAAAAAAACTTACCATCATAACTTTAAAAGCAAAATGGATCTTATCTGATTAGTAGTGACTTTTTTTTTCTTGTAGTTTCTTTCTAACTTGGTCCTCAAAACTCCTCAAGCAAGGGATGGGCAAAAAGGGAGAGTTCTGAGCAAGATTAATATAAACACTTAAACAAAGGATTCACACAATTTTTAAGCTCAGAAAGAATTCTGCCTAGTAACTTTGGAATCTAAAGATTACTAAGATTACTAAAGATTACTAAGTTTTCTAAAGAAATTTATTGGCATATTAACTCCTGTTTGAAATCAGAAAATATGGCTATGCATTTACAACACACAACCTTGAAAAATCCTTGAGAATGAATAAACTGATTCCATCTATACAATGCTTCATGTGTATGAGAAAACAAAAACTGCAATAGAAACAAATGAAGAGATAGTAGGTAGCTTGAGCTATACCTGAGAATGTGTCTCATTCTCTTGCAGCTCTTTCTTTAGTGTCTCATACTCTGTATTCAAGCATTCCATTATCTTCTTGAAAGAATGGCTACGTTTTGTCAATTTTTCTTTGTCATCCTGGAGTATCTAGTTGGAAAAAAACCCAAGACAAACCAATTAATGGATGAGTTCATTTGCTGTGGACTACAGACAAATTATTTTAATTTAGCTTTCAACATGCTACTTTTTCTTCCATTCAAAAAAAGATCATACACATAAAGAACTCTTCAGGCTTTTCTCTAACAATGCATGCCCTATTGTAAAGAGAATATTCAACAGTTACAACCAAGTTATAGGCTTAGACAATACTATATCAGCACAAGTGAGAACAACTGATGTTATGAATTTGTAGGAAATGTATGACGTGAAATGGGAAGTGGTCTATATGAAGTTTATCTTAGAGAAAATACAGGCAGCATATAATTTTCTTCTTTGTTTGGGTTCTGTGGTTAGATTGCTAAAGTCATGTGTTACAGCAGAAAAGTTCAGATGAATCACTAAAATAAATGGGAAATTTTGTGGAAGGAAGTTATCAAAAGGTATTCAGCTGACAGCCTGCTACACGTACTCAGTTAAGGGCACATATATAAGCAGAGAAGCGTTTGGATTCTTTTGCACTGGTGTACAAGCCCAGTTTTCAGCTTTCAGTCAGGATTCTCAGTCATATATCTGGATTCCCCTCCACTAGGTGCTCAAACCCACAAGTTCTGTATAATCCAAGGCTTAATTCCTTTCATTACCTTTTTCTTTTCTTCTCCTGATGCTTTCAGAGCTGGCAAATTATTATAGACCTCCAACTCCATTTTTGTTTGTTCAATTTTGTCTTTAAGAGAAGCCAGTTCATCAACCATCTTGCCCTCCAAGAGGTCCATCTTCTGTAGGTCCATCTGCAGTTTTTGACTCTCTAGATCACCAGATATACAATCTCTAATTAATAGTACTTTTAATTTCATAATCCATTGCCCAGTATATAAAGGTTTATCCTATACTTCAGCAATACAAACAGCTCCTTCATACCTTTCTGATTTTGATATTCATGGGAATGTTAATGTGAATGAAAGAAAAAAATTTGTTCTTCACAATCATCCCATAAGTCAGACTCCTGTATTACAATTACTGTATATTACATTACTCCACAAATGAAGAGTAATAAAAACATGGTGATTTTCTGTATCACAGTGTGGTATGTTAAAGTTGTTTACAGCATCAGTCAATTTAAAAAAAAAAAAGTGGTGATACCTTACAAAAAGTTGACCACAAGAATGCAGACAATTAAAAAAAATATATTTTTGTTAGTTTTTTAGCATCATGTTGGTTTTATATATGTTGCTTGTATACAATAAGATTTATGAGAGTAAATAGCCAATTTGCTTTAAATATTCACTCAGTACAGGAAAACACTTCCTTATCTCCACAGAATAAGAATTGTCATAGATTACAAAATAAGTATGTGCTACAAAATACAGCATTTACTTCTGAGAGTCCTAGAAAGAAACAACACAATTACAGGTAATTAAACCAGTTAGAAGTATGGATGGATTCTTATATGAAGTCAGATGTAAAGACTGAAAATGTTCAGACATGAAAGGCTTAAGAGATGACATAATAAAGACACAACTTCCCCCCCCCCCCAAAAAAAAAAAACCAAAAACCTCTGATCCAGTTTTGGGGATAAGTTTTCCACACTGTGTGGAAGGGCTAGATGTGGCTAGACTTGTTTTGTATGGTTTTGTGACCCGCAGCCTTGTCACTATATTTTCTTCATGTTTCTTAACATTTAAACACATGGCTACTTGACTTTATGTTTCAGAGCTGTGTCTAACCTAGAAGAATGATACAAATAATGCAGGTTTTTTATTACATTCTAAAATATCAGGCAAAGCAGGCTGTTTGGAGGGTTAAGACAGCACAAAGAAACTTCTCTTGGCATAGACTGCATATGTTGTTCACACACTAAGATTTGCGCTGATTACCTGGAAAAAGGGCAGGAAAATTTTCCCCCAACTTAACCAAGGCAGTATAGATCTTTATGGCAGAAAGCAGTGGATGCACATATGTGACAGAGGGAAAGTTCACTTTTCAAAAAACTGGGTATGGTTTCCTTGGTGGAAGTGTTCGGGAAAATCTCACCTGATCAAAACCTTGTCACAGCAAGATTTTGGTACTCATCTCTTGTGTGTATTTATGCCATATACTCATTTTTTAGAGTGAAATATTGGCTTTAATCAACATTTCTGGCTTATTACTGAGAGCTTTGATAATTTCTTTAGAAACTTCAAAATAAAAACAAGCCAAGATTTTTGTGTAGAATACATAATTATTCTGAGGGAACACACTTCCATAAGGTAAGACTGAAAGGGTCCTCCATGTGCAAAGAGCATTTATATAAATATGAAAAATTTCCACAGTGGTAACAAAAGGGGTTTAAAAATAAAAGGTTTGGACCTGCACTGAATGTCTGTGATTCAATGTTTATGATGACTTCTACCCTAAAGGGCTTAAGAAAACACTTCACCTGTATCTAGAGTATTTCATAACTGCCCACAATTTCAAGTTCCTAGGATTGGTCAACATCAGATTCTAAAACATGGCTGAACAGACCACAGCTCTACTTCTCTTGCTCTACCACACTGTGGTTTAAAGACAGACAAATGCTTAAGGACCTCAGTAAATCAGGGCTTTAACATTAAAAACAATAAAAAATATTTATGAAATAAAAATAATTAAAATTGGAGAGAAATAGCAGAAAACAACTTTGAATTTTCTTAGTATTTATTTAGACCTAATCACAGCATTTTAACTTTTTATATAGTCATTTATAATTTGTTATTTTAAAATAATAAATAGTTGACTAGTTGAGATTTATTTTACATTTAAAGATAATAAAAATATAAATATCAAAAAGCCAGAAAGGATTCTTAGACTGCTCTATCTATATGCTGATAAAAACTATGATGGGACAGCAATGGGCTATTCCTATCCATTCACAACTTCTGGAGAAAAAAGGAAGAAACTAGAAGGGGTGAATTTATCCTTAACCAGCAACAGCCTCAATGAAAAAAACTCAAAAACCTCAAAACTTCTCTAGGGGAAGAGACAGGAAGAGGATGCAGCCCAGTTCCTTCTGATATGCCATGAAGTTGCAGCGTCTAGCAGGCAGTGTGTACACAGCAGCAAACTCTCAGACCAAACTACAGTGACCCAGGGAAATGTTTTTGGGAAACTATGCCATCAGCACTTTTGTTTACTCTTCATGGTTTCCTTTTCTCCCCTCCTCCCTTTTTTTTTTTTTTTAAAGCATTCTGCTGGTGGACTTTTTATACCTTTGCTATGGCAATAAAATATGGAAATCCAGATTTTAATCACAACAAAAGAATCATGAAGATGACTGTGCTATAATTCAAGGGTTAGGAAGAACTTCAACTGTGCAAACTGTAAATTCACTGTATTTTTGAAAGAATCTTAAGTTGTTTATTACAGTATCTGTGACTCCTTGCTGTCACAAGTTTACTTATGAATCATTTAAATGATCTGCTGAAAATTACGTACTATAACTTCCTTCTCTCCCCTTGCGAAGAAATACGTCTTTCAATCATGTCTCTATAGTGCTATGCGCTTCCAGAACATCCTTATATTGTAAAGTAGTAAGAACTGATGCTTACACAAAGAACAAAAAGTCATATTTGAACATGTAATGCATGGCCCAGCTTTTTAAACTAAGGTAGAACTGCAAAATGACTATTTGTAGACAAGTGAACACTAAATGTTCAAACACACAACAGAACAATTTCTGTAACCTTTTGTGCATACCAGCTACTTATTTGCACATAACTACTTTGACTTACAACACAGGCTCCTATTTTGAAAATTATTACAAAGTACAGCACATAACAGCTTTTTAACAGAATGATTTATGGTTCTTAACCCCTGCCCCTTCCTTTCAGCCAAACAAACAAGGAAAGGCTTGCTGAACCAATAATGATATTGGCAAAGGCTTAGAATTATGAGAACAACTCCACTATAAACAGTGCAAAAAAAAGAACTAAATAGATACTTGTTCTGGAAATGAAAGAAAAATACTGTCTGCTTTTTGAAATTACAGGCAAGATCCTGCAGATTCTTACACTTAAATATTTGAGTATTTCCAAAATGAAGTAAAAATGAATATTCACTTTGCAGAATCAGATCCTGAGAATTTGAGAGCTACTCATTGTTGTTCCCAGTTATTCTCCCATGGTACATACCACTTTAGGAAAGCACAAACCATAAGTAAGTTATACTAAGTACTACATTTACAAATAATACATAGTTAGATAACTGTGGAAGTCTCAATTTATTAAATACTATTTGAAGATTGTGAAAAGTATTTATTTCGAGGTGGATATTAGTAAAGTACAACTTCTAGCTCAAAAAACTTTGTACCCCTCTATAAAAATACATCTGTTTAACATATATAGGTGCAAGGAAGCTGATCATTTACTTATAATAGTAACTGAAATACTCCTGAGGAATATATATAACTTGTTACCCACAAGAGTTTCAATCTGTCAACTTGTCACTGTATTTTAATATTTGGAGATCATTGATCTTTGTAGTTACTAGGGTAACAACTCAGGTAATTTTAATTTTTTTTAAGGACTGAATTTGAAAATTCATTGCTGATCTCACCTGTAATCAGATTCTTAGCAGTGCTCTGTGATTTCTGCATTTCATTTGATTTGAAAGTGAGGTCTTCTTGCATAATCTTCAGCTCTTGATTGGTAACAGATGAAATTTGTTTCATACGATTCACATTCTGTGCATTACCAATAACAATAATGAGAATGTGCTATATCTTTGAATCAAAAAAACATCAACTAGACAAGTAAGAAACTCTCCTAGTGCATTGCCTATTATTTGTCTTTTCTACTACAAAGAAATACTGGAAATAGTCAGAAGTGATACAAATGTGAACAATTTTCATTCAGCCAACTTTTGAGAAAAGATGTACTGAGAGGCCAGTGAAGATGCAAGAAAAATGTAGCAAATAAAAACTGTGTAGCCATAACGATCTCTTCTAAAGTACATGTCATTACATAAAATATATCTTATGGTATACCATAGTGAGTTAGAAGGCAAAAAAGTGATGATGTAATCAAAAGTATTACTCAGCTGAAAGATTTCTATGAGATTAAAAAGAACATGGGAACCAAAAATACTTAAAGAAAAAGTGATTCAAAAGTGCAAAAAATAGCAGACTGTAACTGGGAACAATTTCTAAAATGTTTACATTAAATATTACACTGCAGGGTATTCCAAACATAATTTTAGTAGATCACGAGAGATAACTGGAATATTGTCAGTTACTTAACAGTAGTGACAGAATACGCATTAACTGAGATTTGCAGACTTTAGGTAAATAAATTATCGCAGTAGTTTTATTTGCAGTATTCCGACCTGTTTATCATTAATGGAATAATGTTCATTATAGCAGTGATGATGAGTTACAGCAATTACGCAAACACTTCTTTTATTCTGGTCACAAGTATTATCTAATATTCAAAACTCTTTCTCCAGAAATAAAAAGAAATTAAACTTTTTTTTTTTTTTTTAACTACAGCTGTACATGCTTTAATACTTAATCATTTTAGGAGATTATTATGCAGACACTGACTGGATAATATATAAAACCCACAATCATTCTTTATCCATTCATTCTCCAGCTCTGTGCTTCTAAATTCCTAGCTTGCCATAGGAAGAGGGAAATGCACTTACCCTGCTTGAGTGTTCCAGGAGTGCAACAATGTTGGCTTCTATTTGGACTTTTCGTTCCAATTCCTGATTCTTCACATCTTCAAAATTCTCAAGAAAATCTAGAGATCAACAAACATGATAGAGGAGACTGCTATATGCATGAGTACTGCACAAGTCCTTGTCATTTCCAGTCAAAACTTTGTATTAAATTGATACGCTGTACAATTTCAAACAGGTAACTAGAGCCCTTGAAACTTGTCAGTTTATGAGCTGCAGGGAAGACATATTTTCCAGAGTCAGTATTTGACTGATTAACGACATGAGGTCACCATCTTCTTGGATACTGTTTAGGTGAGGGTTGCCACTCAATGGTAAAGAAGTTTCATCATCATAATTTCTGACACCTCTCTGAACTTGTCCCAGCAACCATTTGTCTTAATTTTTCTGAAAGCTATCAAACTGGGCTAATAAATAAAAAGGTGATTTCACTACCTAATGGCCTGTACTAAATGCCAAACACTGCTAAGGACCTGAGACCAATATTCACTTGGTATCATATCTTTCTGTATGATGTCCTTTTGCTACATCTCTAATTTATGTTCATTCCAGTAAGTGTCCAAACTGAATCTGACAAGACAGTTTTAATGGTGGTATGCACTCTGTATTTGTATCCTAGGCATACTACATTGTATTTTTTGTGCTGGACATATTGAAAAAAACGTGCTGGACACACATGAAAGTCAGAAGTCCATCAAGATGCCACCCAGGGCTATAAGTTATGATCATCCATCTCCTACTTGGTCTCCTCCTGAAACGTGGCTTATATACACAAGAGCACTCAGGAAACATAAGAGTTTGGAAACTTTCTAGATGGATGAAAAAGGTGAGAAGTACTTGTTTGAAGGATTAGATAATAGTAAATTCAAGATGGATTATTTGGGAAGAGAGAAAGAAGACAGGAGGAACTACTTAATAGAAATACTGGCAAATCCTGAAGGGATAAGAACTGACTAGAAAACTGAAGATCGCAGAGCATCCATGATTTTTAAAAAATGACCAATTTCAAAATTTTTTACTAATAAAACATTTATGGATAAGAAAACTATTGTAATATCTGACATTATCTGCAATGCTGCCCATGAAAGAGTTAACAGAGACACTTCCCAGGATACAGCTTCTAAAACTTTCAGAGTGGAAAACGTGCTTAAGGATCTGGTGTAGTTGGGAATTGTCAGTGCTAGGTGAACAGTTGGACTAGACGATCTTCAAGGTCCTTTCCAACCTAGATGATTCTGTAATTTTGTGATATGCATTATCAGACATGAGGGACAATATCAATAACCTAAAAAGACTATCTCTGAAGCAGAGATTTCAGGATGAAAGACCCTTGGAATTCTTAGAGGTAAATGAATGGCATTAGACAACACATTTGTAATGTGCAAAGGTGATTGCTAAAACCAATGACTAGTTCTGATACAGATTCAGTTGGCTCAAAAAGTTGAAATAAAGTTTTTGTCCACCTGACAGCGACTAGTAATGGTAGAGAACAGTACTTGGCAAGAATGTAAGAAGGTTTACCCTTTGCCAACACTGCTGTGAACTAGTAACCAGAAACAGTTAAAACCAAAGCTTAAACAGCCTGCAATTGAAAAAAGCTAGTCAAGTCCCAGGTGCTGAATAAGTCTATTGCCAGGTCTGTTTTTTCTCCAGTACCCAGGCTGAAAATTAAACTATCCTTATTTTATTTTATTTTATTTTATTTTCTCTTTGTGGTGTTCTTTTTCTTTCAGAATGAACTTGTGTTGTTTAATACTTTAATGAGTGACCACGACAGCTCCAAAAAGAACTCCTTTCTCAAAGGACAACTACTGGATATTTCATACCATCTGTTACTGTGAAATATAGACAGAAATTTTCTACACAAAGAAAATACTGGAGCACAACATAAATAAGGGAAAGGCATTAAGGAAGGTAAAAATATTGAAATTCTCACTTAATATTTTGTGTTTAAAACATTTGAGCTGTTCTTCCCTTTTCTGTTTAAAAAACTAAGTGGGTAATTTTTACTAAGAGAATCACTCAGATAACCTAACACAAAACTTTCAATCACATTTAAGTATTTAGTGCTCTAGTGCTGAGCAACGGCTTCATTAACAGCTCTTGTGGGGGTCTGAGACACTTCTTTTCAACATAACAGATTGTGCCATGGACTTCAATGCATTTTAGCAAGAGGTCTTAAATGTTCATTGCATTATCTTGATAAACCCACCTATTTGCTTCCAAGGAAGCTGTAGGCAATGAGGATATTGAATCTTCCAAAGGATGTATGCAAGGGAAGGCAGAGGAGTGAAATAAAAGCAACTTCATGAAAGAAAAGCATTCTCACACATTTATAAATATGAAATGAGAATAAAACTAAAATACTTTACATACACAAATATATAATTTTATAAACCTGACCTCAAAACCGTGGAATTAGGACCCAAGAATTGTACCTACATGATTTCACTATTGTTATTCTCCTTTGGCATTCTGGACCTTTAGGTGGGTTTTGGTTTTTTTTCCAAACCTTCTTTGAATTTATTTAAAAACATTAAGCAAGGTCTGTATTTACATCTCATCTCACTGTCTTTCTGCAAGCAACTCTCCTTTTCATCACATGTGTCTGACTGACCTTGTTTCGTTTGAGTGCTATGTATTTCACAGATTCATAAAAAATTGAATGGAAAGGACTGAAAAGGTCATCTGATTAACTCGCTACAGGACAAAGACATGTCAGTAATTCAGATGTTTGTCTATACTCTTCTTACATACAGGCTCATGACAGATACTCTACAATCCCCCTGAACAATCTATTCCAATGCTTGGTGAATGTCAATGTTAGGAGGTTTTTTCTAATATCCAATCCAAAATCTTCATGCAACTATTGATATATTACTTCTGTCCTCCATGGATATGTAGAGATAGATTATTCATTTATTATTGGAAAGAGCCTTTTTACGCATTTGATGACTGTCATAAATTCTCTAAAATAAAATACTCATTCTTTAATATTTCCTTGCAGGTCATGCTTTCCACATCCTCTATCAAGTCTCTCTTCAGGACTGTCAACCTCTTTCTTTATCTACAGAACTAGAGGCAATACTCCAACTGAAGCCTTCCTCAATGCACAGGGAGCAAGATTACTACATGTGTCTGACAAATTACACTCCTATGTATACCTACTACTATGGTATTTTTCTCTTCCATGTTAGTGTGATACTGCTGAGCCATGTTCACTTTTTCTTTCACTGTAACTCCAAGCCATACCACAGAGCTGTGTCTAGTGAACTACTTGTTCTGCATTTTTGCTGTTGATTACTCTGCCCAAGTGTAAAAATTTAAACCATCTTTTTTGAACTTCTTGTACTTAGTTTCTAGTCTGCTACAGGCATTTTAAATTCTAACGCTGTCCTCCAACATGATTTCAGATTTTCCAATGCAGTATTTTCTGTGAACTATATATTTACTCTCTTTCCTGTCATCCAACCGATTAATAAAAATATTCACTAACCTGAACATCCAAACCACTGCAAAACTCCACTCAATACTTTCTTCCATCTTGGCAGTGAATCCTTCATAATCATTTATTTTTTAATCAAAAGCACAGTGTAGGTTAATAATGGATTAATTTCTTTAGCTTGCTTCTAAGAACATGAGACAGCAGTAGAAGATGTACTGAAGTTACAGGACACATCATCTGCTGCTTCTCCCTTATTCTGCAATATTATTCTGTCAAAGAAGGAAATTAGTTGTTTGTTCTTGACAAATCAATTCATATTGCTGTTTCTGTAATGTTACAAATTTGCTTGCTTATTTTTTCTACAATCTTTCTGGAAATGGATAAAGCTGACTGGTCTGTATTTCCCCAGCTCTTCTTCTTCAAGACAGGTACCGTGTTTGCTTTTTTCCCATCTTTAAGATTCCTGCATGTTCCTCCAAATCTCTCAGTTAATCTCAAACAGCTCTAGAACTGCATCAATATTCTCCGATGAAGGGCAGAAGTAGAACCAAAATCCCAAAAGTCAGAAGGATCATGAGGCCCTGCTTTTATGGTCTGTATTCATACCGAAAATCAAGATCAAACAAGCTTTTGCCTTTCTACTCCTCAGGAAATCAGGTAATTAGAACATCCAAAAATTCTCTAACTGCGTCCTTATCCATCTTTCCCTACTGTCAGTTGAAACCTTTCTTTCAGTATCATGCTAGCCATAAATTACATTGAACATTTGTAGAGAACAAAGAGGTATTATATACTTTTGCTTTCATGGCATATTTATTGATCATTTTCCCCTTTTGTTGAGTAGCAGACCACCTTTTTTTGTAACCTGCCCATTACAGTATACTAGCAATAAGGTATATTTTATATTTTAATTCTGTCTTCATCCTCTGTTAATTGCTGCTGAGGTCTCTATAACATTAGAACCTTTTAATATGGAAGAAAGCTTTAGTAGCATTCATCTTGAATAAAAAGATACAAGAAGCCTTAATTTTAAAGAATTCGAAAATATCTATGCTTGTCCATTCTGAAGTGCTGCTTTGAAACAGACCTCAACAGCTGGTTTTATGTCTTCTATTTAAATTAATTTCAGCCTTGCTTTCAGAAAAAAAAGCTGTGTTCCCAAGTCCTTTAATGTTTGATGAAAATACTTGAAAGATGCTCCAAATACCTTTGACTGTTCTGTGAGTCCTAATATATAAATTGTCTTGTCCTAAGGTAGATCACAGAAACTTTATGCAAAGATCAGGACATCAGCTCTTTTAAGGTCTAAATTGAGTGTTAACAATACAAGAAAACCTGTATTTTGGTGGAGTTAGGCCTAATTAAAGGAAATTAGACAACTTACTATCCATGCTTTCTTCCCTCTTCTTCAGCTCTTTGTATTTCCAATTTTCCTCCCCTGAAAGAGAAATAATATTGATTTAACTTTATATTGTCTCAATCCTGAAATCCTTTAGGTAGGGTAGGCAAAGTGTCAATCTAAAAAATAAAAATTCTACATGCCTAGAAACTACAGGATTCATCCCATGCCATTTAATGTAGTCAGTCCAACTATGTCATACACACTTATATTAAAAAAAAAAAGATAATTATCTTAATAAATCAGCCCCATTGCAATTTTTAGAACCTTTTAGAGATCAGAATTTTTGATAAATAAGAGTGGGATACTTTGTTTGAACAAAGGAAGTTCACAGGATTTTTCTGAACACAGGTGAATTTCAGTACTAGAGAACAAAAGCTTTTGTGCATTCAGGCACCATGGTTAGTTAAAACTTTCTGCAGTCGTCAACATATGAACCATTTCAATGTCACTTTCACGTATTATAATGGACTTTCATAAGGATATGCTGCTTGTAAGTAACAGTGTGACAATCTCAGGGAAATAAACAGAAAAACTGTACGAGCAATGATATAGGAAAATAAAATGCACAGAAGAATTTCTACAATTAAGTTTAAAAGAACATTTCTGTACACATTCTTTACAGTGGTATTAGGAGTAATGGATAACATACAATACATAATTCACAACATCTTTAAATCCAACCACTGACTCTTACTTAAAATAGTAATAGTAAAATGCGAGACGATGTATTTGTCACAAGTTTCAAGAAGATCAGACAATTCAACTCCCAAGAATAATTTTAAGTTTCAAATATCTAAATTTGTAATTGTTTGAGTCTTAGGCATTGATTAATTTTCAGCATAATCTTGTAACTTTAAAGAATACAAAGAAAAAGAATGAAGAATATACAGATATAACTGAGCAAGCAAATTTTTGCAGGTCTTTTTACTTGTACACCCCCATGCTTTCCTTTTTATCTAGTATATACAAACAATAGGAACACCCTCAGACCTCAAGGGAACTGTGATCCTGCTTCAGCTTCCTTGCAGCTGTGGCTTTGTTCCTTGCTGGACTCTCTCTTTCATTTTGCAAGGCAAGTCTCCAATACTTTGTAACTCAGTCTGTGCTACTGTTAAGTCTAGTTACAGTAAGCCATAAAACAGAACTACATTATCTATCAAGTGTTTAAAGAAAAAAAATACTTGAAATTAAGACCACAACTTTTAAAATGTCTTTACAGATAAGTTTTCTTTAAAATACAAAATTATTACATTGATATCTTAGCCTCTCATTACAATTTATGAAGTGTTAAGTCTATTCTATTATGAGTTAATCTTGATTTTGACTAATCAGTTAAAGGTAACTGCTAATATATGGAACATATAATAAGTGGGTGAATTTTTTACTTATTTAGTCTTTGTTAAGTGAAAACTAAAAATAGTTACTTCTGTTTATGGTCTGTTTTGGTTTTTTTTTTTTTTCCTCTGCTCCGTTTTTAGCACTGAAATATTTATCCTGAAACATTAAAAAAATCCATATGTGTACTTTTTCCTTTACTGGCTATTTTACCTTAAATTTAACTAAAAAACTTTAGGAGCTGAAGTTTTGGGAATGCTTTGTAACAAACAATTTAAATACTGAGTCAGAAGCAAGCTGACAAGGGAGGGAGGGAGGACAAGAATCTCAAGGGCACACCAAGATTCTGATTTAGAGCAGAAGTATGAATGGCCATCTGGGATTCTTTCTCCATTCACAAGAGAAGGCGGCATTGGGAATTCCTGTGTCTAAAGCTACTCCTTATGAGTATCTTCTTTATTCACTCTATGTTATACCAAGAGGTATAATTTCCCTTATATTATGCCACAAGGCAACTAATTCTGAATATCCTGACTGTTCTCGATACATTGACAGAGCGCATGTGCTTTCTGCTACATATGCTTTAAACCCTCTTCTCCATCAGAGGTCTTTTTCTAAAACAGTGAAAGGCATACAATCCAGCAACAAACGATAGTGTGTGTAAACCTAGCTACCAAATGTGAAAACCAACTCATATCTTACCTTCTGCATTTCTCCAAAGATACAAAAAAAGGAGTTGCAAGCCAAATAAGGAAAAATTAAAACAGAATAGTAAAGTTGACAATGACATTATCTGGAAACCAAAAAGCTAATAAAACTGTCTTAATAAATTATTTGCACAAAAATAATTAAATATCTTGATAAATATGAATTATTTTGTAATGCAAAAGATGAGAAACGGATGTATCAAACATTAGGGTCAATTTTAGAAACATTTGTTCACCTTGAAGGAATTTACACTGTAAATTTTACACTGATTGCCTGAGAAAAGGTATAAAGTAAAAAGAACACAAACACATCAATTCATCAGCCCTATAGAATTTAAATAACTTGTTACTAAGTTTTCCAGAATGTATAAACATATTTATTTAACTCATATCTAAACAAGATTCCTTATAATTAGAAAGTTTTCCGTGGGATAAATTTTCATTTTAAGGAGAATCTTCCACAGCTGTTGAGGCCCTATGCTCAAATTTAAATTACTTCCTTCAGAACCATGACTTGATGTGCTAGGACAAATCCCATCCTAACCCAGCCTAATGTACTACAGCAGGTGTTTGCCTAAGCTAATGCCATTTCTAGGGAGTTTCCAAACTCTTCTTGCAAAGCTGAATCCAAAAAGTTTCAAAACCAGATAAAAATAGTATGAATTCTGTCTGCTTTACATATTGTTATTAAATATTCTCAATTCCACATTCACTGAGAGTGTATCAGATCATGTGGAAGTTGCAATAAAACCGCACTTTTCTAAAACTGAGATGGTTCTGCAATGCTGCCAGTAAGATAAACTTCTATCCCTCGAGTAGTCCTAAAAATAAAACTGGTACACAAAACCAGACAGCTGTACTATTATTTTATTTGGTAGCTTTACTACTCTATATGAACTCAATAAACATGCCACTAAAGGTGGGTACTCCCTATTTCTCACATCTAAAAAGAGAAGCCTGCAGCCCTAGACACAAAACTTTCTTCTGATGGTGAATAATGGACATTTATATAAGCTTAAATGTTTCAATCAACTAATGTCCATAAAATATGTGTTGTAATATGAATAGATGCAGCTCAGCATAGTATACTACAACTCTAGTCACATTACCTTGATGATTCTCTAGATCCATATCAAGTCGCTGAATGACCTTTTTAAAATGGTTTGTTTTTTCTTTTACTTCTGTCAGCCTGACAAATAGATAATGAAATCCAAGGTTAAAAATGTGATGTAAAATGGAGAGAAAAATCAAGAATAAGAATAGCAAACCTACGTTTATCAAAACCAAAAGAATAGGATGAGGATTGTTGTTATTATAAAATGTGTATGTAAAGCACTTGTCACTCCAGTCCCTATATCTGTGAAATATAATTATTGCTGCTGTTTTGAGTTAAAATCTTTTTTTTTTTTTTTAAGTTATCAGTAGTTCTTAACTTACTCAGCTGGTCCCTCTTCTGGTTGCTATACAGCTTTGCAGAGGTACAACATAATTGGTAAACTGCAACAAGGAACTGTATTCCTTAGAAATTACCTACATGTTCACTAAAATTCATTAAGAAATTGCCAAGTAAAACACTGTGTTATAAAATCAATTGAAGTGGGAAAGGAAATTAGCTTAAAAACATTTCTGTGTAAATTCTCAAATATAATTCTCTGTTACTGTTTCCAAAAATTCTGTTACGCAGCTTATTATTCAATCAAAGGTGTCAATACACTAAAAATTAACCAATTATTACAGCTGGGAATACCACTTAAAAGAATTTAAAATTGTTTCTAGAAGATTTCAGGAATTATCCAAATTTTTCTCTAAAGAGAGATAAATCAAAAAGCTCAAAATCACAAAAATATCATACTCTTTTAAACCCACTCCTTTACTATTTATAATAACATTTACCAGAGTTTCTGGCAAATCTTCAGAAAGGTCCAGTACCCAAGAATCAACATGAAATGCCTTGTTACTCTTCAGAATTAAAGTTTTTGTAAGCAACTTCATAACTCTTAGGTTTTAAGACATATAACAAACTCTTCAAAATGTGACTGCAGCATAATGTGGGCTCATGTCCATAGATGTCCTAGATGAGTAGCTCTTACAGATTAATGTCTTCCTCAGCCTTAAATAAATTTATATCAGTGTTATTGCCAATTTATATTCTCAGGGCATGTTCATGAGGACAGGAAGTTGCGTATTATACAGATCTAACTGTCCTATCACCATAAAGGTTGTTTAGCTGGAACAGAAGGACATACTCTGTTCTCTGTGGAAGGTTAACACTAGCAGAGGCTCGAAAATGTGATGATGTTCTAGAAGTCCATAGAAATATGCGATGGAATTCAACTATCTGTCTTTAGGGTCTAAATGTAATTAGTCGCAACAGTATAATAGGATTACTCACTGTCTTTCCATGCTTGCTATTTCTTGACTATCATCCTTAACCTGTAAAAAAGTATTAACAACTTTAACATGTGACATAAAATCTACAAATGAAAAAAGAAATTAGAAAAGATATCTTAATTCAGTATACAGAGAATAGACACTCAGCATATGAAATCAGAAATTTGCTGTCATTGTCCAACAACTCTTAGTTAGAGGTGATATGATTTAAGTGTTTGGTCTTCCAAATGTTTTCCTGATTTCCCAACATACATTTAAAAATCAGACACACTTATCAGTGTTGTTCAGTCCAAAATCCATATAGAATATATGGATATACTTAACACAGCATAGATCTTTGTAAACTAATTAAATTGTTCCTAGATTAGTACCTCTGCGCAGTATCCCCTAAGGATACTGTTGAGTTTTATGTTACAGAACTGTTAAATAGGATGTTTTCTCATAGCAACAGGATTGATGAAATAGAACAAGTCATCCAGTAGAAAAGCTGACTGCCAATTTTGTTTCGATGAACATGAAACATCCCATCCAGCCAATTCATTAACTGCTCTTAATATCAGATGATTCGTGTGGCTTAAAGAGCAAATAAAGGCAATATTCAAACCCAAGTATTTTAAATTACCATTCTTTAAACTCAGACAGTCTTTCACATGATAACATTTTATGTTCTTGCCTGCTTTAGTAATCTCTCTCTTTCCTCCTGTGGAGATTCCATGTTCTTATCCTCAGCAATCATTTGATCTCGACGTTCTTCAAGGTCATGGAGTTTTTCATACAGCTGCACAGCCTCCTGTTTCACCTGCAAGTGTGCTATTTCCTGTTGGAAAAGCAAACACCTACTAACTATTTTCAGATGGCAAGACAACATCGCAGAAATTATGTTTTAGTTAAGCAACAGTTATCTATACATTGAAAGTGAAGCTTATTTGTTACAAACAGTACAGAGACAGTATAAACAATAAACTTCATAATCCACATTCTCAATATTGCATTTTCTGGAAGGGAATAACCCAGTCAGCTACTTTTTGTTTTATGAGTGCATCCTCAGGCCAATTTTCTGAGTAGATTTACTACTTCATAATTTCTAGGGGATCACAATCATATACAGTATTCAAAAGGACTAGAAAAATGCCTTGCAGTATTTGAAATTTATACTTTCTGAATATATACATGACTGTATGTTTCGGCTCATAGATCCTTTTATCCATGAAAGACCTGACATAAGAAAGTTCTCCTCAATCTAGCAATATGACAGTGTATTGGAAGTGTGTGTTTATATGTATGTAGATATGTGGGATAGAGTATCTTAGCAGGCACCACTTTGTGATTAATGCCAGTTGCTTTTGAAAGGGAATATGGAACAAGAAAATCATTCTCACACATCCTGAAAGTGGAAAATATATTGAAGTTCACACTGATCTTCATAAGCTAATTCCAAAACAATCAAATATCACACAACACATTTGAAACCACATGAATAACTAAACCTAGGAAGCCTCACTATTGTTATCAAAATTTTGTACTTGGCATCTAGCAAAAATAATTTTTACTCCAAATTGATTAGAAATTATTGGTGGAAAACAGAGGCAGCTTTGCCTTCCCAGTCTAGGGCATGATCCTACAGTATCTGAAAATTTAAGGAGAAAGATTATACGTATTTTTCTACGGTATTGTTTTACACTAGAGTTCAGTGAAGACGGCTACAGAGACCACTTGTTATCATACATACAGCTCTTAGAGCATCCTCCTTTACATTTAGAGCATCCAATTCCTGCTGTTGAACAACCAATTCCTACAGAGAAAAAAAAATGCAAAATTCAGACAAAAATTACTACTTGATGAGATTACTTATTTATTCTGCAACTTAGAATTTATAAAATGACATAAAACATCTCATTGCTGCTCTTAAAAATCTAAAAGACAGTGTCCAGCTTCTCCAAGTAACTCAGATATAATACCCACTTACTTTCAGCATCCAACTTTTCTAATAAACTCTTAGCATTGTTATTTGCAGATAGTCTATAACCAAAGGATTGTTTGCTCTGTTTCCACTATTTTTCTTAAAATTGGTACTGAGGCTGGAATTTATAATTTCTACTTCAGAAGTTTGAAGCCAAATCTTAAAATCTGAACTAGGCACCACAGTTTCTTCATAGTCCAGAAAGAGACAGGTAGGCCCTGACTAGTGATTCAGCTCACACTGAGACAGCTGGGAAGCACTGGCCTCAAAAGATGCCTCTTTCTCTGTACAGACTACACAGATAAGCTTTATAAGACTGTATGTCTGAAGCTAGATAATCCCAGAGAACCTAGAAATTTTAATTATTTTGTTAACATTAGGATTACTGAAGTCACAAGAATTTTACAAATCCAGTCCATTTTTCTGATCCACTCAGATGTACAAGAACAACAAAAAACCCCAGCTGGATTCATTTGTACACAGAGGAAAACTTTCTACACAAGTGAACTAAAAAAACCTGCAAGGGTTGTTTTTCCCCTTTTCTTGTTTTTTTTACACATGATAAAACATCTAAGTACTACAGTTTTTAAAATCTTCATGTCAATCCCCAAATTTGGAAAATTATGAACATCATTTGTTTTTAAATTAAGAAATACAAAAAGACAAAAGTGTTCAGTTTAAGTCAATTGCTCTATTTACTTTTCAGGCACTTCTACAAATCATTAAGATACCAACAAGTTCTTTTATTCTATTTATTTATTTATTTACTCCATTCTCAAGCTCTTTAATACTTAAATTGTATCTGGAATCAATGGAGCCAGACTGAGAAACATTTCAGGTAAGTACAATGAAACAAACCAACCTGGACAAGTTTTTCATTTGCAGCTTTCATCTCCATGTATTTAGCTTGATTTTCCTGTGACATGTCTTTAATTATGTCATCTGCTACAACCTTTTCACGTTCAATATCGTCTTCTACGGTTTGAATTAACTTTTCTGTGCTGTAAAATAGAACGTTTCTGTAACTTTTACTAGTTGATGTCTATTTTAAGCACCCATTTCAAACCCTGGCATTCCATCAGCTTCACTGAAGTGATCCTTTAACACAAAAACTCCACAGACTCTAAAAAAAGGAGGTACATACTTGTATCTAATCTTCTTGGATCTGGATTAGCTATATAAGCATTCACATCACAGAATGCAGCAGACGAAGAACAATTTGTCCTTACAGTACCCAAACAGTGCTTCCCAACACTCCCAAGCCTGTCTACCTCCATAGTCCCCAACACTGACAAGACTATACTGCTCCCTCTCAGTTGTTTTCAATCAGTGAATTCCTTCAATAAGAACAAGTAATGTGAAATAAAGAAGCTGGTATATGATTTGTGAGAGCACATAAAGAAAACATACTGTATAGATACCAGGACTTGACGGTACTGGATAATGATGAAAAGACAACTTTCTTTCATTAATGAATTGTATACTTAAGAATGGAGTGTATACTTAAGAATGTGGCTTCAGAGTCTTAGGCAGTAAGGAGTTTCTTAGCCATGCAAGAACTAAGAAATTAGCTATTCATGACATTCTTGATTCATGACTTTAATCCTGTTCAGAAATCAACTGGCTGCAATCATAAAAACTTCTCTACCACTGCAACTATAGTGAGCTACAAGCAAATGCATCAGAAGATTCAAGGAAGGCAGAGTTGTTCTCACTGTTTCATGTAGTGTCTAGTAATTTCTATGAAATTCCTGAAAGCCAGAGAGTCAGTTCGAGAACACAGCTAAAGAAAATGAACAAAAAACTCCTAGACCCTAAAGATTATATAACTTCCTTCCCACCACAGTTCATGAAAACCAGTTTGCTTGTTTCCAGAGTGACTTCTGCTGTTAAGAACGATAAAATCAGCTGGACACTTTCCTTCAGGATTTACTTTTCTTCTATTTTTCATTAACTCTTCCTGGGTTGCAAGATGCCAAAAATTTCAAATTGTGTAACTGACACTATCAGACTGGAGCCAAGAATGCCCCTCAGGCTTAAAAGATGATGCAAAATAGAGAAACTGCAATAATTTAACCTCAGGGTAAGTGAATGATGAAAATTTCATAGAAGCAGAGTAGAGCTGATGTTGGAAAGAACTTTTGAAGATCATCTAGTCCAGCCCCATTACTCAAAGCACAGTCACCTAGAGCAGGTTGTCAGTATGTTGTTTAGGAAGGTTTTGAGTATCTCAAAGGATGGAGACCCCACAACCTGTCTGAGCAATGTTTCGATGTCTGGCCACTCTCAGAGTAGAAAAACTTTTTTCTTACATTCAAATGGAATTTGCTATTCTCCAATTTGTGGCCATTGTCTCTTATCCTGCCCTTGGGCATCACTGAGAAGAGACCAGCTCCATTTTTTTTAACTTCTGTCCAAAGTATTTACTTTGTTAAGATACCCACTAAGCCTTCTCTTCTAGAGTTTAAGCAACTCCAGCTCCTTCTGCCTTTGCTTATAGTTTTCAACACTTCTGAGGAATTCTCAGAAGAGATTCAAAAGTGTAACCAGTCTTTCAACTAGCTTCAAGAAAGATCTATAACCTCTGGGAATCTGAGAATGTTAAGTAGAACACCAGTCTATAAATTGATAATTATATTACTCTTGGTAGTGGAAAGGAGTAATTTTTTAAGTGAAGTATGTTCTGAAGCTATGAGAGTAGTTTGATTCAAGACCCTCTGGAAGACAAGGACCTGGGAGTTGGCAGGAAGCTTCCATGTTACTTCTTTATTGGAGGCTCCTCATCCTTCAGCCTGGGCTGCTGCAAGGTCTCAGCAGTGACAGTTTCTCTCAAATCAAGCCCAGCTGAAGACATTGCAGAATGAAAATAGAGAAATTGCAATAAAGAATTCAAGAAAATGTTAAGATTGCTGATTTCCAAACTAAATTTCCACACTAATGTGATTCATCTGGAGAGACTGTCAGTACTGATAGTAAGGAGCTCGTCTTTAATTACAATCAGGGTGCCTTTTCCTGGGGCATTTAGGGAGAGAGAGAAGAATACCACATGCTACAATTCTCCTGTGTTCCAAGCCACCTTGTGGAAGCAGCTGGCACCACTGACAGCAGTGGTGTCTCCAAAGCTCTACTGGATTTTTCTTATCTATTCCTGAGACTGCAAGTGTGCATGGCACAGTAAGGAAAGAAAGCCTACTTTTCCAGCCCACTGATGTAAAATGTGTGTGGACACATTACAGCGTAGCCTTTTTCCCTGAGGCAAGACACTTTTTCTTACGTGATATGGACTCCTGGCTAAATACTTCAAGGTGATCCATTATGTCCTTGAGACTAAAAATGTCTGACTTAGCTGTGATGCACCTTTCTGGTAGAAACATTTTGACCAAAGGTTAAAACTCAGTGATTTTCTAAGAAGCAATGAAAATATCACAGGAAGACCATTACCACAAAATTTTAAGACTACTGATGAAGCTCAATCAGGGATTAGGCTTGGAAAAGTAGCAGAATGTTCTGAGATACTAAGCAAAAAAATCAAAGTGGCAATAACATCACAGAAGGCTAGTGAATTAAAACGGTTTCTACAGTCACATATTTGAGAGGAGACTGAACTCTTGTAGTTTAATGCTGTGCATTGGACAGAATGAGCATCAATGCAAGAAAAAAATTATTGGATGTAATGTTTGTGTATTAATATAATCCCTTTTTTAACCTGCATATAGACATGCTCTCAAATCAGAGTAAGTATAATTTGTTTTCAGAATTTCTGCCTGAAATATAGTCCATATTATATCTCTCCTTAAGTGCTTGCAATTCTTTGTAAATAATGACCTTTATGTATCACACCCTGCAGCTCCTTTGATTTTCCAAAACATAAAACATAGATTTAACTAACTAGTAGAGATCTTTACTTCAGTATGCAAATATCCTGAAGTTTTCTTCATTTCATGACTGATCACATAAAAAATTCAAGTCTTTTTCTGTGTCCAGCATTCTTTAATTGATTATAAATAAACTTGTTTGTGAATCCCCTACGGCATTTTAACTTAGTGCTTCCTATATGATCTGGAACCTGACACCTGAGCATACTATTAGACTTCCCTATTGCCTGCAGATCCAGTTAAATCCAAGATGATTATAAGAAGTTGCTCAACCTAGTCAATCTTTTGCTAAGGGTTTTCTAGATTTATTATTTTTTCTACACTGCCTGCTTATTCATCAGGTACAAAGGTTGAACAAAACCAAAGTGCTGTTGCACCGTATTATTTCTTGTCAGTGCACTGAAAAGTCTATACATGTGTATATATGCTGCCTCTAAGAAGCATCAGAAAGGTAAGATACTTGACACATCTTTTTCAACATGTAGATGAAGATTTATTAGTATAACTTTGTTGCTAGCTGGAAACAAATACATCTTGAGATACATGAAAAGTTCAGGAATTACTGTGAACCTTGGACATGCCAAGTTGTTAGGTAAATTGTATTTCAGTAGAAAGCCAGGGAACAGTCCGTTTCTTCTCTGAAAACCAGACTAGCTGATTATATAAACTCCATTACCTCCCCGAATCTTCATTCTTTTTATTTTTTTTTTTTTTTTTACAAATGTAAGAAAACCAGTAGGAATTACATTACTGTTAAATGACAAAACCTTCAGAAGTTCTCCAAGGAAAACATTTATGAGAAAATGCTTCTAATTACAAGGAAATGTCCAGGCTCAGTTTCTTTCCAAAGCAGTTACTTTAAACAGTAATTCTTAAATCTGGTTCTACTATAAAGCTAAACTGCAATTAAAATTACAGATGCTTTCCTGTTGTTCTACTGATTATAGGGATTCACACACACACAATGCAGGAAAAGTTTTAAGAAAATCCCTAAATTTTCAGTAGAAACTAAAGTATAAAATAGGAACTGGTTTTGACTCAGACATACGCAGAGTGAATTTTCAGACAGGAAAAGGATTTTTCAAGTCAATGACGTCTCCTTCATTCAGACATTTTTAATTTTTGCTTGAAATTTTGAAAAACTTTTAACTTTCAACTCGATTGTTATTAACTTGTAGACTAACTTTTAAAATAATATTTTAATGTATTTTCTCCCACTTCATTAAAGCCAGTATTTTTCTTGGAATCTGCAAACTAGACTAACACTATTTCTATATTTCTAGATTGCCTGGTTAAGGCCTGCTCTGTTTCTGAACATCTCGGAAGTGGTATATTTAAGGTCCAAGTATGCCACAAGATCCAACTGTTAACATAGTCTATATCAAGATTTCTCAAACTGCACCATGTTTTTCACTAGCAATATACAAACTGGATCCAAAAAGTATGCAAGCCACCAGTACCATCACTGACAAGAAAAATACCTAATACAGAACACAATACCACAGTGGCTGCTGCTGCTGCTAGTATCCCTTCTCCTTGAAAATGTCTAACAAAAAGGTTTATGAATTCTTTTTGTATTTAAAGTAAATTTCCAATGCATCAGAACAGTTTAAGTGGCATTTATCTTCTTCTTTCCAAGAAGTTACTAAGTTTTCAGCCTGATTCTGTTAGGTGAATGAAGTCAGTCCTCAGACACATAAATATATAAAAGAAATCAGTATTAGACTTGACCAATTTGTTCTTTGACCTCTTCTACTCCATACTGATCAGGAAAGGCATCCTGGCACTCTCTGGTGTTGTTTTTTTTTAAATCTGGCCTATATTTAGCATTGTTTATGTAAATGAGCTTCCTTATGTAACTTTGCCCCATCTTCTCTATAAAATTCAGTGAATACAGCTCAAGATACTCCAGGCACAAATAAGTGTCTTACAAGTTATCTTTTGGGTCTTTTTCAATCTGGAAGATAGAAATCTGGGAAGGAGATATTGAGATTCACTTATGCCCCTATCTTTTCTCTTCAGATGCTTAATACAGAGTGTAAAAATGAAAGTATAATCTACCTTTTATAAAGCATTTTAATTTGTCTGGCATAAACATGGACTGATTTAACATCTGACAGAGATAG